AAAATGAATGAAATGCAAAATAGTTCAGATCAACAATTTCAAAAACTTAGAAGAAAGCTTCGAGATATAGAAATATGTGATTTAATGACAGAGAATTCAGGATTGCACTTCTGAAAAAAAATGAATGAAATGCAAAATAATTCAGATCAACAATTTCAAAAACTTAGAAGAAAGCAGACCAGCAAAATGAGTTTTTTAGCAAGGAGATTGAAACCCTAAAATGGAACTAAATAGAACTTCTGGATATGAAGAACACACTAAAAGAGATGAAGAGTGAAATAGTAAGCTTAGGAAATAGAGCTGACCAGAGGAAAGAATGGAAGAAAAAAAATCAGGTGATATCAAAGATAAAAATCTAGAAATGATTCAGAAGGTAGAAGAAAGAGACAAAAGAAGGAAAAATAATGAAAGAGAAATATAAGAACTAGCTGACACCATCAAGAAAGGCAACATAAGAATAAGGGGTGTACTAGAAGGAAAAGAGAGGGAAAACGGATCAGAGAGCATATTGAGATAAATAGTTGACAAGAATTTCTCAACTCTAAGGAATGAGCTGGAGCTTAGAAACCAAGAAGCTAACAAAATATCCAATTATCTCAACTCAAAAAAGCCTTCTCCAAGACACATTATATTAAAATTATCAAAAATCAATGACAGGGCAGCTAGGGAAAAGAAGATGGTAACCTATAAAGGAAAGCCCACTAGACTCTCTCCGGACTTAGCACAAACCTTACAAGCAAGAAAGGAATGGAAACAAATTTTCAAACTCTTAAATGAAAGGAATTACCAGCCAAGAATAATGTATCCAGCAAAGCTCTCCTTTAGATATGAAGGAGAAATAAAGACCTTTACAGACATATAAAAGTTGAGGGAGTTCTCCACTATGAGGCCTGCACTACAAGAAATACTGAAAAGGGCCAGCTCACCTGAAACTAAATAACAAAAATATGTATGTGTAAGGTGACTAGCAGGATGACAGAAGCAGGATAGTGTAACCTTTGTTAAGTATTTCAAGCTTAAACAAAAAGAAGAGAATTGCTATTGAAGTTAGAAGTGAATGTTCAGCATACATAAGGACAATCTGAAACAATAACAGAAAAGGGGAGGAATCAAAGATCTAAATTCGCAATGGGGAATGAAGATAAGGCACACACAGAAGAAAATGGACTACTGTGAATATATAACAATCCTTTACATATTCTTAATGGTAACCACGTGCCAAAGATCCAGAACTGAGGTACATAACATGAAACAAGAAGGGCCAGAGGGAAAGTCCACAAAACTCCACCAAATTAAAATAGCAGACAGAAATGCAAGTACAAGGAAACAATGGAAACACTGAGCTACCAGAAAACAAAGATAAAATTGTTATAGGAAAACCTCATATTTCAATAATCGCCCTTCATGTAAATGGATTGAACTTACCAGTAAAAAGGCACAGAGTGCCAGATTGGATCAAAACACAAAACCCAACCATATGCTGCCTTCAGGACAAAGTTCCAAAGGCAAATATAGACTCAAAGTGAAAGGGTGAAAAATAATAATCCAAGTAAATGACATTCAGAGAAAAGTAGAAGTAGCAGTACTAATATCGGATGAAATAGACTTCAAACTAAAAATGTAAAGAGAGATACTGAGGGACCCATCAAAATGATAAAGGGAATCATACACCAAGAAGACATAACACTTATCAATATCTATGTTCTCAATCAGGGAGCCCCAAAATATATAAAGCAATTACTAACAGAACTAAAGGGTCAAACAGACCAAAACACTATCGTAGTAGGAGACCTAAATACCCCACTGTCAGATATGGACAGCTCATCCAAACAGAAAGTCAATAGGGAAATAACATTCTTAAATGACACATTAGACCAACTGGACATAATTGACATTTATAGGGCTTTTCATCCCAAAACAGCTGCTTATACATTCTTCTCTAGTTCACATGGAGCATTCTCAAGGACTGACCACATATTGTGATACAGAGATAGCCTCAACAAATAGAAGAGGATTGAAATCATGTAAACCATATTCTCTGATCATAATGCTTTGAAGCTGGAGATCAACTGTAAAAAGAAAGTGGGAAGAACCACAAATACATGGAGATTAAACAACATGTTATTGAAGAATGACTGGGTCATAGAAGAAATAAAAGGAGAGATCAAGAGATACATAGAAACACACGAGAATGATAGTACAACATATCAAAACTTTGGAACACGGCAAAGAGTTAATAAGAGGAAAAGTTCATATCGTTACAGGCCTATCTCAAAAAACAACAATGAGCTCAAATAAACAACCTAACGCTTCATCTTTAAAAACTAGAAAAAGAAGAACAAATGAAGACTCAAATCAATAGGAGAAAAAAAAATAATCAAAATTAGAATGAAAAAAAAATAATCAAAATTATATGAAATTGATAACAAAAAGACAATAGAAAAAATAAATGCAACGAAGAGCTGGTTCTTTGAGATTAATAAAATTGACAAACCCCTGACCAGACTCACTAAAGAAAAAAGAGAAAGGACACACAAAAAAATCAGGGATGAAAGAGGAGAAGTTACGACAGATACCACAGATATCCAAAGGATCATACAAAAATACTATGGAAAAAATATATAACACCAAATTTAATAACCTAGAAGAAATGGACAAGTTCTTAGAAATATACAACCTTCCTAGACTGAATCAAGAAGATCTGAAAAATCTAGTTAGACCGACCGGCAGTATGGAAATTGACATCAAAAAGCTACCAAAAAGTAAAAGTCCAGGATCAGATGGCTTCACCAGTGGATTCTACCAAACATTCAAATAAGATTTAATACGTATTGTCCTCAAACTCTTTCAAAAAGTCAAAGAGGAGGCAATACCTCCTAACTCATTTTATGAGGCTAATATTACTCTGATACCAAAATTTGGTAAAGAAAACACACACACAAAAAAACTACAGACCAATACCTCTCATGAACACAGATGCAAAAATCCTAAATAAGATACTAGCAAACTGAATACAACAACACATTAAAAAGATTATACACCACGATCAAGTGAGCTTCATCCCAGGGACACAGGGATGGTTCGACATATGCAAATCGATTAATGTGATATACCACATAAACAAAATAAAGAATAAGAATCATATGATCATATCAATAGAAACAGAAAAAGCCTTTGACAAGATCCAGTATCCATTTGTGATCAAACTTAATAAGATAGGTATAGGAGGAAAGTACCTTAATATAATAAAGACCATACGCGAGAAAACCTCAGCTAACATTATACTTAATGGTGAAAAACTAAAAACCTTTACTCTAAGGTCAGGAACAAGACAAGGCTGTCCGCAGTCACCACTGTTATTCAGTATAATATTAGAAGTCCTAGTGAGTACTCTCAGTCAAGAGAAAGAAATAAAAGGCATTCAAATAGGAAACAAAGAAGTCGAACTGTCGCTATTTGTGGATGATATGATTCTGTATGTAGAAAACCCTAAAGACTCCACAAAACACTACTAGAAATAATAGACAAATGCAGTGAAGTTTCAGGATACAAAATCAATGTTCAAAAATCCATAGCATTCTTATATTCTAATAAAGAATTTTCAGAAAAAGAAATGAAAAAAAACCCAAACAATTCCTTTTGCAAAGCCCCATCAGCATTTTTTAAAGAAATAGAACAAAAAACCATCAGATTTGTATGGAAGCACAAAAGACCCCAAATTACCAAAGCCATCATGAGAAAAAAGAACGAAACTGGAGGCATCATTCTGCCCTACTTCTAATTATACTACAAAGCAACAGTAATCAAAATGGCATGGTATTGGCAGAAAAACAGACACACAGATCAGTGGAACAGAATTGAAAGTCCAGAAGTAAAGCTCTATTTACATGGGTAAATAATTTTCGACAAAACATACAATGGAGAAAGGAAATCCTCTTTAATAAGTGATGCTGGGAAAACTGGAAAGCCGCATGCAAAAGAATGAAAATGGACTGTTGTCTATCACCACACATCAAAATTAACTCAAAATGGATTAAGGACCTGAATAAAAGACCTGAAACAATAAATTCCATAGAAGAAAACATAGGTACGAAACTCATGGACCTTGAGCTTAAAGAAGATTTTATGAATTTGACCTCAAAAGCAAGGAAAATAAAAGCGAAAATAAATGAATGGGGTTATATCAAACTAAAAAGCTCTGTACAGCAAAAGAAACTGTCAACAAGACAAAGACACAACCATCCAAATGGGAAAATATATTTGCAAACAATGCCTTCAATAAGGGCCTACTATCTAAAATATACAAAGAACTCACAGCTCAATAACAACCAAAAACAAACAATGCAATCATTTCTTCTAAGAAGACATACAAAAGGCCAACAAACATATAAAAAGATGCTCAACTTCACTAGCTATTAGGGAAATGCAAATCAAAACCACAATAAGATATCATCTCACACCTATTAGAATGGCTATCATCAACAGGACAAATAGTAACAAATGTTGGAGAAGACATGGAGAAAAAGGAACCCTCATATGCTGCGGATGAGACTATAAATTGGTATGACTACTATGGAAAATAGTATGGAGTTTTCTAAACAACTAAGAATTGATCTACTATACGATTCAGCATGTATATATACACACACACACACACACACACACACACACACACATATACATACACACACATATATACATACACACACACATGCACACACACACACATATATGTATATATATGACTTACTGTTGAATTGTACACTTCGAACTTATTGGATTTTATTAATGTCACTCTCCAAAAAAATTAATTAATTAATTTAAAAAATAAATAAATAGTATTGGCAATAAAACCCAAAACCATATCTTAAAAAAAAATAATGGACCACATTCAAGAATCAAATATTTTGTGTTTTGATGGATGGGGTTACAAGATGTGATTCTTACCCCAACACTGAGATTTATTTGCATTCTTTTTGGATTTCCCTTTTTCATTAAAGGATCTTGTGGATTATTTACAAGTTCACTCACATAGTGCTGCTTATGCTACATCCATGAGCCCCCCGATAGCAGAGCAAATCATCAGATCAATGAAACTCATCATGGGACTGGATGGGACCACGCAAGGTAAGTGTCTGCAGTGAGCACAGCTCCCATGAACTCATTTCCTAAACCTCTCTCTCTCCCCTTCTGCCCCATTAATTTCTCCCTTCTCAAATATATACCTTGACTTAATGTAACCCAATTTGTAAATCAAGCCATACATGCATAGTAAATAGTATCTAATACACAATCATACATAGTACATAAACGTACTAGAACTGCTGTCACCACACAAAAAAAGGAATGCTTTTTTAAAGCAAAGAAAACTTGCTAATTCACCTTTTAATATGATTAGCATATTTGGATACTTTTGTGTAATTAGTTGTATTAAAATCAAGCAAATGATGGTATGTATTTGCCTGTGCTTGCTTAAGGCTGTCATTTGTGTTTCCCTGAGAACAAACTACTCAATTTGATATTCATTTTTTATCTATCCAGCCACCACTTTTTCTTTCCTTTCTTTCCTCCTTCCTTTCTTTCTTTCTTTCTTTCTTTCTTTCTCTTTCTTTCTTTCTTTCTTTCTTTCTTTCTTTCTTTCTTTCTTTTTCTTTCTTTCTTTCTTTCATTTTTTTTTTAACTTTCAATCAAAACCTGCCCTGATACTGAGCATGCCCAGACTGCAACAACGCCCTAGGAGTTCTGATGTGTGTGGGTTCGCCGGCTGTGGGCTTTTGAAAAG